CCTTTAAACAGTGCGGCGTGACGAAGACGAGTGGTCGTAACCCAAGTTCTAAACACATAATCAAGTTTTTCACATATAAATCAGTCTACAGAAATGAAGACTGGCTCTGATACCAAACTATAACGCCCCAATCGATTTTTAAGAAAATCCATGGCTTTTCCAAAAATCACAGTAAAATTTTTGAAATTTATTTTTCGAATCATAAACATTGTGGCGTTACTCATTCATTTCAAAACTTAGTTCAAGTCATGTCTGAACTACGGGGATTCATTACTCGATTTTTCAAAGGTTTTCATTAACCATAATCTCATCAACATAATAAACATCATGATATTCCTAATCACATACTCATGAATATCAAATTGAAAGGTTTTCAACATAAACCAATCCAATCACGTTTTCAAAATCAAACCAATTCAACATGTTCAAATAATCCAACATAAGTTTATAAATGCGGAAGCAAATAATAATCATAAATAATTAAGCAAGACCACTCACTCGTCTTGTCTCACAAGATACACACTCACACACACGCGCGGAGGGAAAAGAAACCGGGCCGGCGGTTCAGCTGGCGAGGCGTGCGGACCGGGTCGCGGGTTTAACTCGCGGCTCGGGTTCTCGGGCTCGATTTTACAGCTCGGTTCTCGATCGCTAATTAAGACAAAAATTCGGATAATATTTATACATACAATACATACATTAATTACTTAAAAATAATAAATAACTCGCGGCTCAGGTTCTCGGGCTCGATTTTACGGCTCGGTTCTCGATCACTAATTAAGACGAAAATTCAGATAATATTTATACATATAATACACACATTAATTATTTAATAATAATAAACATTTAGGCATTTAATTGACATTTTGGCATTCAATAAATAATAATAATAATAATAATAATAATAATAATAATAATAATAATAATAACAATAAATAATATCAATAATAATAATAAATAATTTCAAATAATTCACAAATAAACGAGCGCTACAACGACCATGATGTGAGTTGGTCTCCTTCGACCTCCTCTAGTAAATCTCCAATTAGGAACTTAATCTTTATGTGGTAGGTTCACACCACTGTGTGGAATGCACTTATACTAGGTACTCCCAGTATGATGTTATAAGCTGAGTCCGCTTTAACCACAAAAAATCTCCCCATCTTTACCTTTCGGGTCGCACCTGACCCTAATGCCATTGGAAGTGTGACCTCACCCATCGTAATGACCTCACAAGCATTAAGCTCATACAATGCAGTGCTTACATTCTTCATGTCCACCTCCAGGTCCATCTATATAAAATANAAAAAAAAAAAAAAAAAAAAAAAAACATCTTCTGAGCTCCCAGTATCGTTGAATACCCATTGCACCTCATAACCTGCAACTTTAGCAGAAATGACCAATGCATCGTTATGAGGTGTATCAAGTCATATCTTTCCGTGAAGCTTATTGTTGGCTCCTCCATAGTAAACCCAACCTCCTATGTCTTCCTTTTCATAGCTTGTGTATGTTGTATCATACATTGTTGGAATCTTTATCTGTAGGTCCGCCAAAAAATATGTGAATAATTCCCTTCTTGGGAGGTGGATTGGCATCTCCGACATCATTCTGAGGCCTTTTTCCTTGATCCTCTCTTACCTGTCCCTCCCTCTCCCTATCCTTGTATAAAAACTCCTCCTGGGTTCCTGCCCTAAATTTAGTCCTGTAAATGTCTCCAATCATTAGCTTTGTGACCATAGTTGCGGTGGAAATGGAAATATGTTTCTAATTTCGGTTTGGTAGGACCCTCCTTTCTCAACCTAGGCCACGTAACCATATCGTCTCCAAACTTTTTCTCTATTGTCTAAAAAACCTCCACCATATTATATCACATAGGTGTGTACTTCTCGTACCTATGGTTGTCCCTAACTAGCCGACCTCGCCATCTATCGTCACGCTTCCAATCCAACCTCACTCTCTTGCGTGAGCTCCATTTTTCTCTCCTCACCTCAAGTCGTATTGTTTTCTCGATTTTCATGAATTTTGCCTCCGCCTCTTTATATTGGTATATTTTGCACATCTTTTTAGGATGTCATCATAGTTTTTGTCAGCTTCTTAGACAAAGAGCTCCGACAAAGACCTGACCTAAACCCCATAGTTAACCCCCCATCCTTTGGAGTGTTTTTTTTAAAAAAAAAAAACATCCTTGACCTCCTCAGAAGCTAAAGGTATGTCAACACAAGCTCGGGTATAATGTTCACATAGTTCTTTTATGACTCATTTTCTTGCAGTTGCATCGCCATTTTCGTGAAGTAAATCGCCTCGTGGGCTTTGGTGTTGGTGACTTAGTTGAGAAATATGGTCGAGAACTCCTTAAAATCCCTGACCGAGCCCAGTTCAAGCTGGTGGAACCAATCTTGGGCTCCCTCCGCCCATCCCCCCCTTCCTTTCAACCTCCTCTCTCCTTGATGGTACAGCCAAGTTCGTCACATTTGAGACCTACGGCTAGGTAAATCCTATGAAATCTTAAGTCTAGATGTGAGATTTTGAGTGAGATTTCGTATAAGATTTTTTTAAAAAAAATCCCAGCAAATCGTAAAAAGTATTAACAAATCATAGTCTCAAATAAGTTAAATACCTCAGGATTTTGTAAGACTTTTAAAAGTCTAAATTAAATACACCATAATTTCTAAAGTCTTAAAAAGTATGTAGAAATCTCAAATGAATACACTCCTAAATATCGAGTTTTGCTATTTATTGTATCATTCTATGTGTCAATTTATAGTATTCATAATAGTTCACATAGATCTACACTTTTTTTCATGTTTATTACAGACATAAAATTATAAATTGTTTAGTTTAAATATAAATATACGTTTAAGTTTAATAACTAATAAGGTTTTATATAATATACAAATTAAACAGACTTCTAAAACCTTCCGTTTAACTTCCATATTACATTTAGAATAATAATTGTACTTCAGTATGTAAGTAAAAGTTTTCAGTTCCAAAATTCTGAACTATAAATTGCTCTCATGAAAGCTGTAAATTAGAAACCTCCCCTGTATATAATTCTCGAATGTGCTGAGTATAAGTGGCAGGCTCTCGCACGTTTTGGGATCCTACTTGTCCAAAAACCATGGCTCGTACTTAGGCTTGGGTAGAAATAATTTGGTATGGTATTTAATATTTGGTATTTTGCATGGACATTGGTATATTTGATATTGTCAAACCAACAAATTGGCAAGAATCTTTTTATTATGCCAACGTTTCAGTTAAATTAATCTAGCCAAATCTTTTTCCAAATTTTTATGGTTTTACTATAAGTATATAGTAATCATTCCAATTGTTATCTTTCTTCTTTCCATAATCTATAAAAAATAAGAAACCATCTGGTATGCACATCTCATTTAAATTGCTAATTTTCTCCTTTCAATGTTGGTAAACCGATTTATTTTTTGAAAAAAAAAATAATAATAAAAAAATCAACCCATTGTGATCTTATTTATTTCACATGAAAATAAGATCGGGTCTGCAATCTTCTTCTCCCTTTTAAAATCAAGGTAACATTAGAGTTGTTAATATTTCATTGGTTCTTATTTAACAGTTAAAAGAGGAGTTATTATATGTTTAAATTCTCAAACAACATTGCTCCCACGCACTTCAGTAATTATTCTTTTATCATGACTGAATGGCACTGCAATGGCTTAACTATTTTGTTACAAAGTTGGATTGAAATCATCACGGCATATATTATTTCATTTTTTTGTGCATAGTAATATGTAAAATTGATGGTGATTATTGTCATTTATTAGGTTGTTGATGAACTTATCAAAAGACAATAAATAATTTTTTTTTCCAATTTCTCTCAAATTGATTATGTTNTNNT